TAGAAAATGAAACTTCTAACATTATTATACAAATATGAATAATCTAATATCTAAAATATATTGTCACACCCCTTTTTCGCACGGCGGCGTAAGGGTTTTTTCAATTTAAGTGACGTTATTAATTAAGGTATTATTTTAATTTTTTCAGAGTCACCACTTGGAATTGATTTGTTTGGTCGAACCAGAAATTCGGGTAAGAAATTATGTTGACCGAAAGGAAGGTATTAGGAACCTTTCGAGTCCCATAATTCTACCACGGTCGCTTTATTGACTTTTATATGACTTCACTTAATTTTGAATATATTATGTTTATTACCTAACAATTTATTTATATCCCGCTTTCTTTGATTTATTTTAAATTACTTTGTAAAATTGTCATATTTTATTAGTGTGTGGTTTATCGGTAGCAGCTCTTTCCAATCTCACCACAAATTGTTTATTTGTTTGTATTTAAAGACTAAAAGTAATTTAATATTTTTTGGATCTTAATATTTTATTAGTATTATCATTATCATAAGCCTAAATTATACATTATCTTAGTTTTATTTTTTCTAAAAGGAAATGAACAATATATTAATAAGGACATAAGATAAAAATAAATTAAAATAATACACCTTTTCATATAAATTTTTTACTTTTTCTTATTTTAGTCATTAACATGAAAAGAACCCAGTAATTAAAATAAATTTTATTTATTTATTTATTTTGCACGTTTTGGGTCACTTTAATATTGTTTTTTATTTTGTTTCTCTTTCTTCTTATACTTTACCTTATTTTTCTTTTATATTTTCTCCTTCTTATTTTTATACTTTTATATTTTAAAAATTTCTTTTACGTCTTTTCCTTTTATATAAATTTTTATTTTTTATTCTTTCAACATGAATAAATTAATTGATTCTTTTTTTTAAAAAAAAATTCGCATTAAAAGAAATGTAAAGATAGTGTAGGTTTGATTTATTTATTTTTATTCTTCTCTTTTTTTAAAATAAATAAATACAATTTTATTAAATATACAAAGTGAAAAAAAGTAACTTAACCAATAAGACTAAATTTCATCTAATTATTACTAACTGCATATTGTAGAATATTAAGCTCCGAATTTTAATAAAGAACAAGATAAAAGGAAACTTTAGAGCAAGCAAGAATAAATACATGTTATATAAATTTTACTCTAAATTTAATAATATAAAATCTCAATCTATTTCATATTATAATGTAAAAATTAAACATGCATAAATTTACAACACTTTATATCATTGAAATCATATCTTGCATGATTCTGAAACCAAATAATGTAATAAAGATCAAGTGTTACCTTTTGTGAAAATTAAATCACAAAGAAAATACCGCGATAAGGACCATGAATTTGAAGCCTCGAATTCTACTATTTTTGAGTTTTTTTTTTTTTTTGCATGTGTTCCTTAGGGGAAAAAAAAGTGAAAAGTTTTCTTTTTTTTTTCTTTTCCTCTCTTTTGCTGATTTTTTTTTCTCTCTTTGGATTTCTGAAATTTTTTCTTCTCTTTTCCTTTGTACCACTTTTTCTTCTTCTTCTTCCCCTTTTTCCTCCCACTATTAATGTATATATATTTATGTATATGTGTACATGTGTATGGAAGAGTTGAATTAGTGGAGTGGGGTGTGGGGTGAGTGGAGAGAAATGGTGAAGTGGAGGTGGGATAATGGGTAGGTTAATTTTTTTTAATTATTTTTTTGTTATAAACTAATAATAATATTAATTAAGAAAAATTAAATAGATTAAAAAAATATAAAAAAATTAAAATCACTAATTTATTGAAACTTTGAATGAATAAATAAAAATATACCTTAATTCTATTTTTTTTGTGGTTTTCATATCTTTTAAAAATAAACTTAATAAAATAAGATAAAAGTCAAAATATTTATAAAAGATATTTAAGCACTAAAAAGGGTATAAAACTTTATTCCGTCAAAAATTACGTGTCTACATATATTATTATGTACAATTTATTACTAGTATTATAATAAATGCATCACGCCATCATGAATGAAAATAAATTTACTTTCAAGTAGCTAATGCATCTTCTTTTTTCAAATCTCAAGGACATGGTCTAATCACGAGGAGATCAATGATAAGTTAAAAAAAAGTAAAATTTACTATGTATTTTTTAAGAAATTGGTACGCAATATATAATCACCCTCACAGTGTTACCAAATAGTAAATATGTGATATTACAATTTGGTATTTGAGTCACTTTCAATGTTTCTATATATTAAGAAAGACATAATACATAAATATACCCTTTGACCTTACTTCAAATCACATTTATGTCCTTCAACTTGAATGTGCATAAGTAGACACTTAAACTTGTATAAAGTTAAACAAATAGACACATATGTCGTACATGACATCCTACATGTCAGATTTTGTCCTATGTTGTTTAACGTGTATTCTTTCATGTAAGACTCATATGTCTACTTGTTCAACTTTATACAAGTTTAAGTGATCACTTGTGCATATCCAATGTTGAAGGGCATAAATACATTTGTGTATTATATCATTAAGAAACTATTGAGTATCCATTTATTACAACAATTATGAGAACAACAATATTAACTAAAGAATTTATTACATAATTTGTGTAAGATTTGTTAGGTGTCCCGAGCATTAGGCTAGACGTGCTAAGGGCGTAAAATAGAATGCTTAAGGCGTAAGTCTTATGGAACTACGTCTCACATTTGAGTCCCAAAGTGTTTTGCTAGAACCCTGCCCCAAGGAAATTCCAATAAAATCTTTTAAAACACCACTCACAATTGATGGATATCTATATAAGCCATTGAAATTTATTGACATGACAGCCCAACGTGACAAAAAAAAAACATTCAAAATCATTTTCTTTTGGTGTGTTTCATAGAATTATTATTTTTTATGCCAATGCTAAGAAAAAAATAATAATGAACTTCAGTATTGGAAAAGGAAGATGATTTAAAATTAATATATATTTTTGAATAATCACAAATTAAGTTTGAGTTTAAAATTATCCAAAATTTTATGAAACGAACTTTAGCCTGCGATGCATACAGAGACTATTTGCAAGTTGCCAAATAACAGAATTTTAAATTAAGTTGCATACACTAAAAGATGACTCTTACGAAAAAATTTCGAAAAAATCTTCGAAATATGTCATAAATTAAACATAGAAATCACATGATAATATAAAATAAAATGAAATAAAATAAAATTAACTTCTTTTTATTCAAATATATCTGATCTTTTTCCTTAAATGCAGAAATTAGACTATTTTCAGAAAATAATTTTTATTTTACGTACTATAGAAAAACATTATTTTTATTAGAATAAGATATGTTGCGTACTTTGTGTTCATACGAAGTTAAAATAGAAAGAGTTATAAATTTATATATACATTATGATACTTGGACAAAAATATGTTAGGTAAGATCACTTGTTGATAGGATTGAGACCCACCATTACGTACATAAATGTAAGATTGAGTAATTTTCAATAATTTTAAGGCAATTTTCAACTACATAAGGGTTTTTATTGTTTAAAAATAAATTGAAAAGATATTCTTTAAGGAAAAAAAGTTTGATATACTTTTATTTTGTTATTTAAAATTGATATACTTCTCGTTATAAAAGTAACTCATATATATATATATATATATATATATATATATATAAATATAACAAAAATAACTTTTAGCGATATTAAATATTGACATTAATAAGGAATGATAAAGTCTTTACCGGTATTAGTTAAGTGTCAATAGAACCAATGTAGCTAAAGGCTTTAGGGACATATACAAAGAGTGACAATTGCCGTTAAAAATACATATTTGATCATTTTTATTATAATGCATAGTATTATACAAATGGTTCATATATATCCTTCGTAAGTGAAAAAATAATCATAAATTATTTTTTATTAAAATCATATTCATGTAGGGGTATGTGTAGTCCTCCTCAATTTTTATTTCTTTTATCTATTTTTATTAATACACTAATTTGAATTTATTAGTTTGATAATCAAATTTATTATAGGTATCACAATGTTTATTTTATAGATAGGAAAATTAAATTTAAGTATAGTTGCCAAAAATATTTTAATTTTTCAACTATTAATTTTCAATTTTTTCCATTTACATTTCCTTCACTCCTTTTCTCTCTCTTATTTTTACACTAAAGAATTAAAAAAAAAATTCAAATAATAATAATCGAAAAAGTTAAAAAATGATTTATGTGTGAAAAGATCAAGTACATGATATTTTTAATAAAGATATATAAATTACTTTTGTAATGAGGGATATATCAAGTTATTTTTTTCTTTTTTTGGAAAAAAAATAAATATATCCCGAACTATCGTAAATGATGTGCAGATACCCTTTGTCACACTTTAGGGACATTGGTGCCTCTGCGTTAAAGAACTAGAGTATATATACCCTTGATACTAATGAAAATATACATATCATAAACTATTCACCCACTCGACATCGAATTGATAGATAAGATTGCGCCACGTGCGGGGGCGGACCCACATGGTGTCCGCCGGGTACTCGAGCACCCATTAACTTTGTTACTATGTGTGTGCGCGCGCGTGTGCGTGTGTGTGTAGATTTTGATAGATATTTGTATAAAATTAACATAGAGCGTACTTAAAACTCTTTTAGTATTGTTGTACCAAGGTTCAAATCTCATTGTTAACACATATTTTTTACAGAGCACCCACAACCTTAAAATCCTAGATCCGCCACTGGCCATGTGTTTTTATTTTGTCTTCCGTTAGAGTGAAAGGCATCCGCCACTGGCCATGTGTTCCTATTTTGTCTTCCGTTAAAGTGAAGGGCATATTTATTACGGAAGATATCTACGTATCTTTTAGGATATTTATTTTTTTAATACAAACAACAAACGAGGTTAAAGTTAAGTTACTTCAAATAATCAAATTATCAGCTAATTATGGTAGCCATCAGAGTAGAGAGTAGCAGTCTGAAAGAAAGTCAACACGGAGCCTTCGTCTCCTCATCCGTTCTCCTTCTTACCAACTCCCACTTCTTTTTTTCATTTCATTTCTTTTTTCTCTATAAATAAATAAATACACTCTTTTAATTTAATCCACCAATTCCATTATTAATTCATAAAAGCATCACCATTTTCAATTTATCAAATTAATTGAAACAAGAAGAAGAAAGAAAAAACATGATGATGCTTGTCAATTGTTCCAAGTGTCACACCCCCTTACAACTCCCACCAGGTGCAAAGTCCATTCGCTGCGCCATCTGCAGAGCCATCACACTAATTGCTGATCCTCACGCTGCTCCGCCAACACCCCCTTCCGCTTACAATAACCACTACTATCCCCCTTCTTCTCCTTCTCCTGCTCTTGCTCCATCTACTTATAGTTCCGGTCAAAATTCATCGTCACGAAAGAGGGCGGTCATCGTAGGTATTTCGTATACGAATACGAGGAATGAACTGAAGGGATGTATTAATGATGCTAAATGTATGAAATTTTTGCTCACCAATCGATTCAACTTTCCTCAAGACTCTATTCTCATGCTTACTGGTATTAAATCTTTTCAATCAATTTTAACTCGTTTCATCCTGATTTTGATTTACAATTCTGACGTAGTTTTCTATTGATTATGCCTACTGTGTCCCTTTTTTAACAAAGAGATTAAATTGCATTTGATAACTTTGTGAACTCCAGCTATTAGAGGGATTCAAAAAATTGTCTAACAAAGAGTTTTATGTAGGGATGGTAAAATCTTTAACCCAACTTGTCTAATCCGTTCAATCCGGTAAAGTTTGGATTGGTTATTGATTGGTACATTCGTTAGCTCAACTCATTTTTACCCATAAAAAAGATTTGGTTGATTTGTACCTGAATTGGCTTAGGACAAATCTTGTCAAAATATTTTTGAAAATCTCTTATTTGCAATTTTTATTATAGTGATAATAAAGAAAGAGAATAATTTTATTAGATACTAAAATAGTTTAAAAGAACATATAAAACAATTAAGCTTAGTAAAAATTGAGTTGAGTTGGATTTTGACCTGATATATAACCCGTTATCTCACTCAATTTGACCAAGAAAATTGGGATTGGATTATATTTTAACCCGATTATTGTCTTTAACTCATTATGATTCGTCCAAATTTAATCCAACCCGCCGAATTGCCACCCCTAGTTTATGTTTTCTATTTGCTATTTGAACGACTGCAATGACTAATAAATGTCAAAACCAACTAATATTATTCAAGTATATTTCCTCGTCCCTGGTTTTTCTCCTTGTACAAAAACTTCTGTCTTGGTTCATCCCACATTAAGTATGCTTCATTATCAATTTTTCTTCTAAAACTGTGATTAGTATTGCATAAGAAAGACAGAAGGAATAACTTGAAGAGACAGAGGGAATATCATTTAATAAAATAATTTATTAAAAGGTATACTCAATATGCCTTTGTTTTTCTTTCTTCACACCTTTATGTGACAATCACAGCTTTATCCGAAAGAGTGTGTTAATGAAAATGCTGGAACAAGCAGCTGGTGTCTGGTGTAGTTAACTATTATGCATAACTCCATCATTAATGGAAAAAAATAAGTGTATCACATTTGCTACTTAACATCATGACTTTACAATCGGAAAATGGTGTACAGGCGTCCCCAAGACAGTAAAATACTCGCGATGCTTTGTACGTGGTGGCTGATTGTTACTTTTTTGCTCTGATGTTTGATGTCTCGTAAACAATTCGTAAAGGCTAATGTCATTTATCCCCTTTTAGTTTGATTCTGAGTTAATTTTTGCGAGGAGATGTGATGAGGAGTGAGGATTTAGATCAATAAGTTTTGTGTTTTAATTATATACCATTGCATATTCTCATTTTATATGGTAATATTAATGGACTCACTATTAACTAGTCCTAACTCTGAAATGTCCATTTCCCTGTGGAAGTATACTTTCAGAAGAAGAGAGGGATCCATACAGAATACCGACAAAACATAACATAAGAATGGCGATGTACTGGCTTATGCAAGGTTGTCAAGCAGGGGATTCTCTGGTGTTCCATTATTCTGGTCATGGTTCACAACAAAGAAATTACACCGGAGATGAAGTTGATGGGTTCGATGAAACACTTTGTCCGTTGGATTTTGAAACCCAAGGAATGATTGTTGATGATGAAATTAATGCAACACTTGTTAGGCCTCTTCCGCGTGGAGCTAAGCTTCATGCTATTATAGATGCTTGTCACAGTGGTACTATGCTTGACCTACCGTTTCTTTGTAGGATGGACAGGTCTGTAGCACTACGTACTTTTTTGCCTTATGCTAGATTGTGTCTCTCAAGAAACAACCTCTCTACCTGCCAAGGTAGGGGTAAGGTTTGCGTACACTCTACTGAGTATACTAAGTATGTTGTTATTGTTGCTGCTCTCAGTATAACCTTTTCCAGACCATTTAATGCCCTATTATATGATATTTGATGTCCTTTGGTTACAGGACTGGACGATATGTATGGGAAGATCATCGTCCTCGATCAGGAGCATGGAAAGGAACAAGTGGGGGAGAGGTCATATCCTTCAGCGGTTGTGATGATGATCAAATCTCTGCTGATACGGATGTAAAATTCCTGCATCATCTTAACTTTTGAATCAGGGATATTGAAATTTATCCGACTAAATCAATCTAACTAAGCCGATTAAATGAACCTTCTGATTGATGGCAGAATTTGTCCAAGGTCACTTCAACTGGTGCAATGACGTTTTCCTTCATCCAAGCAATCGAGCAAGGAAAAGGAACTACATATGGAGGTATTCTAAATGCAATGAGATCTGCCATTCGCAGTTCTGATAATGGTGTAGGAGCTGGCATTGTGACATCGCTATTGACTATGCTGATCACTGGAGGAAGTGCTGGCATTGGAATGAGACAGGTACGTACCTTTTGCCAAACGAAATATGTTCGTTTAATTCAAATGTTTGAAACATAAATGTCTAGTTATTTCAAATCACTGTTTTGATGTCAAAATTGTTGTTATCATCTTTTGTTTCAGGAGCCACAATTGACAGCAAATGAACCATTTGATGTGTACACCAAGCCATTTTCATTGTAGCATCTTACTCATCAAGCAACACTACCAACCTAAGGTTTTTCATATTTTCATTTAGCTTTTGGGTGTTGAATTCCTGTACAGTTACCAAGAAGGCAGTTGTAGAGTACTAAGATTCTTATATTCATCAATTTCATAAAATATTAATCATTCATGTACGACTATGATTGTTGTAACAAGCCAAAATTTTCGTCAAAGGTGTTCATACTTTAGAATAAGTAACATAATAAAACCTTGCTGGTCAACAAAACACCTTAGTCTAGGCTCAAACCCACACCCCTCGAGGCAACTTTGAACAGTATTAAGCATTGAGCTATCTTCCTTTATTAGTATTCAAGATTGTTCAACAATTATTATATATAAAAAGTAACGAACGCTAAAAACACAATATTTGAAACACATTTGACCTTTGATCGAACTTATATGGCACTAATATTGCTGAGGTGGGGAAAAATAATTGACTGCACGAGCCGCAAGTGAATATATATTTTTTATATTAAAAATAATTTAAATTTAAAAAAAATAAAAATAAACCCATCAGCCCCAATCCCACCCCACTCCCTCACCTGCAACTCTCTTCTTCCTTCAGTCCCTACCCTCACCCTCTCATTCTTCCTTCTTCTTAACATTTGCCCCCACCCCCTCATCCCACCTAACCAAATCTCTTATCTCAATCATTTTAATTTCTTTAAGTATTCTCTATGAATCTTGATCGATTTACACCCTAATAAAATCTGAATTTTCAAATTTTGTTTGTGAAAGATTGAAGTTTAGATAATTTTAGAGCCCGTTTGGGCATAAATTTTGCAAGTAAATTTAGGGGAAAATTTGGCAAATTTTGTTTGTCCATATACTTTTTTATTATTTGGCAAATTTTTCAAATTCCCAAATACTAGAAAAAACTAGTATTTGGGCCAAATTTCATTATTTGGAAAGTTTTAGAAATTCAATTTTTACCCTTAACTTTTTTTCTACGAAAATAATATATTTATTGACACCAACCAATTCAATTAGCTCCCTGCTACATGCATTCTTTTGATTTCATACATTCATTTATTACAGTTAGTCTTAATGAACTAGCTACTAAATAAAACATGAATTGCATTTATTTTATTTTGATAGATAAATATTACGCTGTTGATGCTGGTCTATGGAATACAAGAGGATTTTTAGCTCCATTCATTGGAATGCGCTATCATTTGCAGGACTATCGAGGAAGTGAAAGAGAGCCTAAGAATGGAAAAGAACTATTTAACTATAGACATGCTTCTCTGCGCAATGTAATTGAAAGAACTTTTGGTGCATGAAAAAATAGATTCAGAATACTAAGACAAGGCATGAACAACTATGAATGTGACATGCAAGTGAAAATAGTAATTGCTTGCGCTGTATTGCATAATTTTTTATGTGAACACCAAAGTAGTGATGGAATATTCAATGAATATGAAAATGATGATATGGTTGTTGATGAAAGTGACGAACTACTGGCTCAGGGTAACAACATCGCTTCATCTTCTCAATCGTCTGATTCGAAAATGCAAGTTCATCGAGAAGAGATTGTTCATAAAATGTGGGAAGATTATATTAAAGAATAGGTTGAACTCTTTCAGATGAGAAAGCATAGGTTCTTCAGTGAGTGCAATATTATTCCTTTTGTTTTCTTCTCTTTTTTCCCCCGAATTTATATTAGCTGTATTTTCATTATCATGATTTGTACCAAGACCTTTTCACTATACGAATTTTTTTAGTAATGATTCTTGTTGATTTGTTGCGGAAGTCATAAATCTTGTTACGTGATATTTCTATTGTGCTATGTAATACAAATTTATGGTTAGTTTGATAGTTTTAAAAACATATGGGGTATAAATCATATTTCTTCAAAAAAATGAAATATGTTTCTCAAATTCTGTGGCCAAACACATGGTAAAATTTCACCCAAATTTTCATCCAAATAATATTTGCCAAAAATATTTGAATATTTATGTCCAAACGCTAGCTTGAAATCTTGAATAGTAATAATATATATTGAAAAGTTTGAAAAATTTCACAAAGAAGCTTGAAGAATAACGAATGAGTTATGTGAAATTAATTTAAAATTGATAAGCTTTTAGTGTAACAAAAAAACTCATATTAAATAGGAAAAATTAGACCAATCTGACATGAATTTAGTGCTCAATTATGAACAAATATGAAGAACATGATACGGTAAAATTTAATGTGCAAACTTATCATTTTTTAAAATTACTTTTAGCTTTTAATTTCTTATGTGGCATTAAAAATGACATAGAATTTTACAAAATGACGTGAAATTTCATGTATAAGTGATTGTACTATACTAACACACAAAAAATAAGAAAGGGGTTTAAAATATTGTGTTTTAGTGAGTTTAAGGATTTAATTGGCAAATTTGTGAATATAAGGATCCTAATTGACAAACTGAGCTAAGTATAAGAATCTCCCGGTCATTCTGTCTTACTCCCTCTATCCATATTTTCTTTTATATCTGTCCCTATTTACTTGTTCATTTTAACAAATTAAGAAATGACAACAATCTTTTTTCTAATATGCCCTTATTTAATTCTAAAAAATTTCTAGTACGACTAAGTTGAAATACATGCCTTTTGGAATCAAAAAATCATTTATTATACTTGAGGAGTTGTATAATCTTTTGAGTTAAGGGTAAAATTATAACTAACCTATGATAATAATTGATATCTTAATATTTGTGTCATATCTAAAGTGGACAACTAAATAGAAACTGAGGGAGTAATAAATATCAACCATCTTTGAATATTTCTAGTAGTCCAAATAAATGTCTGTATAATAGAGAATTATTGCTGAATATTCTTAATGACTGGTTATTTGGCATTGAAACAAATTTTGTATTGCCCTTTATATCTTATTTTACTGCTTTGATTGTCACAACAACAAATATTCTTTAGTCAATATTTCACGATGATACTTTGAGTTTTTACCTATAATACTCACCTTCCTTTGGTAGCATTTCAACTAAAATAATTAGTGTGTCCAATTTACAGTAGAAGATATTGTTGAATTCTAAAAAAAAAATTATATCAGAAAAAAATATTCTTATTTATACAAAATATTCTTTAGTCTTAATAAATCACGATGATGATTTGAGTTTTTATCTATAATACTCGCCTTCCTTCGATAGGATTTCAACTAAAATAATTAGTGTATCAAATTTACAGCAGAAAAGATTATTGAATTCTGAAAATGATTTATATCAGATAAATTCTTATTTATACACTAAAACTATACAAAAATTCTCTATAGATTTCATGATCAAGTATTTCTTTTATAAGATTTACCTCCCACCAACAACCCCACCCATACCACCCAAGGCTTTTCACTAATTAAAAATTCAATATTTATTATATAAACATAAAAAAAAACTAAAAAATAACTTTATCGATTTAGATAAATTTCCTTCCACCACTAATGAAATTCATCGATGAGGATTATTCTTTTGTTTCTTTAATCAAACAATTCGAGTTAAATATATAAAAGATAAATCTTAAAAAAACGCTTCTCTCTTAACTTAATCTTATGTAATAATGAGAATTCAAATTAATTAATATTTTAATATAAATATAAAAGATAAGAAGGTCAAGACAACAAGAAATTCCAATATTTTAAATATACCTTCAAGTTTATTATCATCCGTGCCATTTGTTGTCACGATCAAAATCGGGTCGCGATTGGCACCCACACTTACCCTCCTGTGTGAGCGAACCAACCAAATCTAAACCTTAACATTTCAATGTACTATCAACATAAAGTAATGCGGAAGACTTAAACTCATTTATAAAAACCAATTCAATAACTATTATTTCCCAAAATCTGGAAGTTATCATCACAAGAACATCTACTTCGAATTACTAAATCTAAGAGTATCTAAGAAGCTAAAATACATAAACAGCTAGTCCATGCCGGAACTTCAAGGCATCAAGACATGAAGAAGAAGATCCAGTCCAAGCTAGAAGCTTTGTTTTATCGAAAAAAGGTGATTTTTCGAAAAGAGTTTGTTTTATTTTAAAGTATTTTTCGACTTTAGGAGTCGCCACTTAATTTTTAAGAAAAATCAAGAAAACTCATTCTCAAAACAATTTAAACAGAAAAGTCGTTTTGAAAATATTTTTTAGGATTCGGGATTCTTATTAGCGTCTTAGGAAGGTGTTTAAGGCACCTAAGACACTCCGTTAAATACGGTTTTCCAACGACTAACTTATTTGATTATTTTTATTTTTACCCTTTGCAAATTTATTTGAACTTTTATCACGATTTACTTAGCCAAACTTTGCAAATTTGAGATATTAATCTTTTAAGATTCCGTCTTAGTTAAACTTTCTAAGCCTTAACTCTCTAAGCAGACTTTCAAATTTTAAACCTCTATCGTTTCAAAACTTCAATTTTTATTTTTTAGTTTCATAAAGCAAAAGGCGTTCGATGAGGGGGTTTGGAGTTTTTCAAACTCTAAAACTAACGACAATTCAAACAAACGCACAAACAAGTAATAAAGAGAGAGAGAGAGAGATTTGGGTCCAAGTTTTCGGGTTCTGTTCGCCTTGACCGAAACTTGGACCCACCTGCTTTTGGGTTTTTTAACCCATTTCTTTCTTTCGTACCTGTCCTAGTCTAAACATACAAGAATAAATATACGGAAAGTAAAAATGACAAGGGCTTATGCCCAAAATAAATACAACTTAATAAATAAATAAAAAAAATCTTCTAATACTCCTTCCTCGAGCACCTTCGATCTTCATGAAGTTTGAATTTTCGCACGCCTGCTGCCATTCATATTTTTACACCTATTTAAGGTATAACGTTTCTGTATATCAGTGTATACAGGCTGTATATCAGCCTGTTTTTCAACTTTCGAGAGTTGAAAAATTCTTTTTCAGCAGCGTACTTTACTGCCATCAACCCAGGTTTCGAACTAGGCCTCCTGTACATCTTTTGATATGTATATCACGGTATAAACTGTGTATATGGTTGGTATACAGCTTCTCAATATATGCAACTGTAATTTCCAGCAATTTTCCAAGTTCTGGTGAACCAGAATCAATCTCCAGCAGTGCATTTTCTGCTGTTCTTCTGACCTGTACACCTTTTGAGAGGGTTCTATGACTCGAAGAAGATATTCTGAGCCTTTATGGCTCGATGAGGAAGTGTA